ATATATATATATATATATATATATATATATATATATGTGTGTAAAAAAAAACCAACAACAACATGAAGACATCATATAAATATAGAAGTTCTCATTAATAGGCTAAGCTATTACCTTTTAATAGCTTTTAGTTTTGCAGTTTTTCACGAATAATAAGTAATTTTTGATTTTAACTAATTTTCATTTTTTTAAGTAATTTTTGAATATTTTCATAAGTAACATAATCATTTTGACGTCTACAGACCTGTTTCACCAACTTAACCATCTGATTGTCACTAAAATTGCACTCTGTGTTATTTGACATCATGCAAACGTTTGAATACTGATAGAGTAGTCGTGTCGTGATGTTTGCGATGCTAAAGATGAAACTTTTTTTCTTTTTACCTATTCTTCGGTCAAGTTGGTTTTTTCGACTTTTTTTTCTCAGTAATATTCGTATTCAGCTTTGTAGATATCTGCAAATACTGTAATTTTTGCTTCGTGCCTTCATGTTTCTTTTTTCTTACTTTTTTTTGTCAAGTATTCTTTGTTGCTTGTCAATTTTGGCTCATTTTTAAAAATTCTTTTTTTGGGAACTTGTAACTTCCGTTATTGTCTATCGAGCAAAAAGTGATAAGTCGAGTCAAAATGAAAATGTATGTAACATGTTGGCGGAGTATTTTCTAGAATGATGTCTGTTCTAGGATGAATCCGCTGAATCTGTTATACCTTTATTCTCTTGTATTTCCCTTTTTCAAATTTGTATTATAGGATGAACGAATTCAAAGCTAGTTTACCTGTTCAATGCTAGCAGTTGTTGATATAAGTCTTGAAAAGATTTCCACAAATTTCCAGTAATTTTCTTCTGCATTTCTCTGCTTTCCAATTGTACTGCATTTGTTTCGTATGTAAATAAAATTTAGCTTTTGAAAATTTATTGCACTTTGTCTATGATGATTTCTTTGTTCCAAGTATTACCAGTGATGGTGCTATGTCCTGATGGAATACGATGTTTTAAGTTATGTTTGTTATTTGTTTTAAGAGAAAATGAAGCGATAAGCGATCTCGGCATGGAATTGAACAATTTTTACTTTTTTAAAGGATTTATTATTAAAAGAGGGCTCTTTTTTTTACTGTTCGATTTAGCTAGATAGAGGATGTAAGGCCTAATCTAATAAGACCTGTCTTGAATAACTTTATATAGATCATCTTTCGAGAATTGAGATAAGTGGTTGTAAAGAAGTTCAGAGTTTTCCATAACAATAAAAATGTTCGCGTCCGATAATTCATACCTCTGTTCCTGATATGCGGGAGACAAACATGCTAGTTGCGTCTATCCGATCTATCCGTATATTCATGCTAAAAAGCAAACTTGCAACTTTGTTCCAAGTGTTCATGCAGGAAATGTTGAGTGCTGAAATATAGCCTGAAAAGACACCACATAATCTTTTAAATGTCACCTGGTGTTTACAGGTAGCAAACAAGTCGATATCATTATCAGTTAAGTGAATCAAATGGGACAGTGGTATGTATAATCATAAATGCAAGGGGGCATTCATTATAATATTTATCAGTTCTGATCTCGTGAATTTTCTGTGTGATTCTCCACACTTCCTTATCAATGATAAAGCAAGTTTCAGGTGGGGGAAAGACATTCATGTCATTCTGTCACGAAACATACTAAGCATGGACTGAACATGGGCTGTTACACATACGACAATCATTGAACGATCACAACATTATTGGAAATATAAATATCCGTGAGATGATTACCTATTAGAAAAGTATGAAAATCAAAAAGTTATTGAATACATTTCGTTTATTAAAAAAATCTTACAAACAACAACCATAGCTGCAAAGAATTGCTAGGAATGTTGAGTTGATCTCATTAATTCCACACTATTTCTTGCATCTTACGAATCCAGGATAAGCAAATTAACAAAAAATAAACAATGGAACATTTGAAAATGACGACCTTTGACCAATTTTGCAATAAATTTGAATTCATTCTTCCATTATTTTTATCACATCTTTGATAAGTGCTTCAGTTTCTTTTTCGACACATCTTATGAATGATAATGAATCAAAGTAACTCTTTTATTCTCCAACACTTTTCCCGTAGTCTGAACTCACAAATATGCTCAAATTCTACCAAACTCTGATTGTTTATGAATGAAATCATAAACAGCATTGTTTTGCAGAAGAAAAAATTTTGTAATGCGAAATCAATTCATTTTAGTATTTAAATAAAAATCGTATTTGTTCATTTTGAGGTGATGTAAAGAGATGTGTGCAAGACGTCCCAGTCAATTGTTTAATTTAAGTATTTTGGGAAAAATGTGTTTATTAAGAAGGGATCAGCTCATTCATTCGTTATTTATAACTTTCATCCGAAGAATATTCTTCCCGAGAGAAGTAGAAGATGAGGAGGAGAGGGACGGATGTCTCCATCCCTGGCGATGGTGGAAGAATGTCAATAAGTGATTGACTGATTGATCTTTGTGAATTTTGAATATGACACCATCGGATTTTATGCTTTATTTTTGTTGCATTTTTGAAAAAAATTGTTGAACACTAATGAATAATGGTATAAGAGATTCAAAGACGACACTACAACAAAAAGATTTAATTCAGTATTTTTAAATATTGAAGTAATTTATTAAATGATTTAATGGCTTCGGGAAATGCTCTTCTATCTTAACAAATGGACGCATGCAGTTCAATTCAGGCGCTATTGTTTCGTCTAGCCATTTGAAACATTCGCTTACTTTCAAGAAAAATAAAGACAGGTTCAGGGTCTCTTCTTTTTTTCTTTTTCACAACGTTTGGAAGAGGAATTCATAGCACTTATTATTGTTTTTGATCCTTCAAGTCATTTTTAATTCTAATGAGGAAGTTTGAAGACTTAAATGGGATTTTTTTTTCCTTAAATGGATTACAACGGACACATTCCTTTCCCTAAAGGCTATTTCAACGGCTAAAAGTTTGAAAGTTTGATAAGGTGGACAAAACGTTGATGAAGATGAATGTGGCATATTTTTAAATGCTGAAATAAAATAATAGCCCAAAGTAGTTATCATCACAGATTTTATAACCAAGTGGTTCCAATCCAGGAGTTTCAAGAGGCCAAAAATCAGTGAAGAGCAAAATGTCCCTACTACTTAAACTATTACTGACTTGAAATGAATGAATCAAATTTTCGATTATATAGAAATGGAAGGAGGAAGTGGGGATATGTATGATATTATTATGCCTATGGCAAATAATGACTCTCAATTGACTGCTTTGGCTGGCTTGCATTTAATCAATCTGAAATAGAATGTTCCCAGTGACAGTGAATGTAGGCCCATATCATGCCACCTCACCAATCCTTGTCTTATGGAAAGGCCTGATTTACGTCACTAATTTGCTATTGGTGATCCGACGAGCTAATTGAGATTGAAATTCTTCAGCTATATCCAAAAAATATATTTTACATTCTTTCAAGATCCACTTTTTTCAGTAAATTCTCGCCAGTCTCACAGCCAATGATTTGACGTGATTCACGTCTCGTGCACATTTGGCTCATCTCTTCCAACAAAGCAGAAAACAGAATTTTATTTGTTCGTTCTTTTCAACGTGATTAATCTACCACCCATTTTTCATCTTAGCAATCAGTCTCGCCGGAAAATGTTCACTTCAACATTTTTCATCTCTGAGGACAATGATACACCATTAGCAGCTAGGCTAACACCCCTACACAAAGACACACACACACAGACACACAGACACAGACACACACACGCACACACATACACACATACATACACATACACAAACAAACATTTAAAAGATAGGAATGGGATAGATGAGTGAGATCGACACTGCTGGTGCTATTAGTAATAGTGGAATGGTAGCGCTGTTGGTGGTGTTGTCGTTATTGGTGGTACCCTTATCCAGTTTAACTCTTCAAATGTCTTTACTCTGCCATTCCTTCTTGCAGTTACAGATGGATGCATATATATTTTTTCAATGAGAAACATGATAAAGTTAAACTTTTGAATTGTAACTTGATTTCCTTCCAGATGAATTCCTCTTAATGTCTGACATAAACTAGGAAAACAAAATGAACGTAAAATGAGAAATACCAAAATTAAAACTGAAATTTAATCAAAGTATATAATTTCTATAAGCAAGACAAGTAATTTTCTCGATAAAAGTCTTACTCAATGAAAATGTTGTGATTTAAACTTGACCCTCCATTCTGAGTAGTCAATTTGTATCGTTTATCATAGAAATTTCGTTATCCATGGGGAAATTTTTTAATAACATAAGTGACAGAGCAGACAATGTGTGTGTCACATTAGAAGAAGTTCCAAAAGGAAGAACTTTGGCTGCAAATTGTATTAGTATTGGTTGACATCATTGAATAATTACGTAAAGTTAAAATTTCAGTAATTGACTAGTCAGTTCTTGTTGTGTGTTGGAATTGAGCGAATACTTTAACGAAAAATATGTAATTTCTGCCGAGCAATACAAGTAACTTTTTGGATGATATTTATGAATTTTTTTCTTTTCTTGCAAATTTCATTTCTCAAATATTGTTTAAACTTCTTTGCAAATTTAAGACTCTCTTTTTCATATTTATTCTTTTTCACATACATTTTCATTACCATCAATATCATCGTTATTCTTACCTATTCATCTATAGAGCGATTTTTCAACTTAGTCGCATTGCAGGCATTTCAATTGCCATCAGATTGGAATTCGGGCCAACTTGAAAGAATGCAAATTTCAAATACTAAACTTTGCACAAATTTGAAATACGAAAATTTAAAAATTTTGAAAAATATGCAAAATGCTGATGGGATGAATGAAGGGCGTATGATGTTTGCATAGGAAACCAAATCATTTATAAAAATGGATGCTGATGAAGCTATGCAACAAACTTCGGAGAGAATGATTACATTCTCTTCTTCTGATAATATCACTCCTCCGAAAGGTTAATACTTTGCATGCAGTGCAAGCTTTCTTTATGCTTGCTATCTCGCATTTCTAAGGCAAAGAGTATTTAATAGCCAAGCTTTTTCTATCCATTTTCTTTTATACTTGTCACTTACTTTATCCCATTATATCATCCAAAAATATCGCTCTACCTTGTCTAATTTTTTTATCCCAACAGCTGGCCATTTTCGTTTTTCAATTTCGGCAGTCCTGAATTGGTGATCAAAGGAAGAATTGAAATGAGCAGACGTTATCTCTCATACATCCTGCTTCTGCTCCCACTCATTAATTCACACTATTTGATCAGATTGCTTAATTTACGTCACCCAATGCTTTTAACCAGCAGCAGCATTTCATGTTGTCATTTAACAGTTCATCATTTTCGGATTGGGAACAAAACAATTAGAAGAGGTAGAGCAGTATCATGAGTAGTATCATTCTATACTGTAGCATTTTGACAAGCAAGCTGTTATATACGCAGGAAGATAAAAAGGAATTAAGAAATCAACGAGAAGTGACGTTTTCTGCGCTTCTAATTCTGCTACACGAGCGAATATAGGCGGAATTTATCTTCTGTCTTTCCGTTTGTTCATATGTACGACAATCTGCTCATTACAGTACTACGGTAAATTCAGGAAATAGAATGGTATTACTCATTTTTATAGCAAATAACTAATCATTTATTTACAAATATATTATAGCCTTGCTTTTTTTTCTCCATTTGCTATGGCGAATTGTGATATGTTCTGCTCATTACAGTAATATCCCTGCACAAAACATCCAGATTTGATGAATCATATAGCACGATTCTCGTGAAACTGATAGACATTTAACACTATTTACGTGAAAGACTGGTTCTAGCTATATGATTATCGGAAGTTCAATTCCGGATACAAATCATAACTGTTCTCGATGTTTTGTTTGCTTTTCCAAAGAATGCGAAAAACAGAGAAAAAATTCTCCCTCATCCAATGCATACTTTTACAAAGAAAAAGCCTCAATTACCAGATTTTCTGAAACAACCGGACATCACCGTAGGATAGATATATCATTTCATTTTGCTCTCTTTCCCTGATATTTTCCGGTTTACGATAGTATCTTTGGAAGAAATTTCATCACGTTGATTGTAATGATAGTGAAACAGTTCCTCCTCCCTTCCCTTAAACTATTTTCTAGCAGGAATGACTGGTTGATGATACTTTTCAAATGTTTATCATCAGTCATACTAGTAGTAAAGAAAAGCAGCAAGTAGTCTAAGAATCGGTCACTATCAGGAATCAGATGATTATTTTCTGAGAAGAGTGTATACACGAAGAAGTATGAGTGTAATCAGTCATTCACAAGTGTCACATTGCATCGTATGTGTGTGTGTGTGTGCGTGTGCAAACGAGACTGAGGGAAGGAATGGGTCACTAGAGAATATTTGTTTCTCGTTGAAGTGAAGTGAACACTATTCGCTCTACTTCAGTGACACCATTTCAACAAAACTCACAATCACAATAATTATGCATATGTTTCGGAGGAAAGAGGGAAGGATCGATGGAGGTTTATCGAAAACGTGGCGACATACAACTCCCGCACTTCGTTTAACGCTGTCATTGATGCGATGAACATCACTAATGTCATCATTAGTGTGTATATATGTGTGTGTGCGTGTATGTGTGTGTGTGTGTGTGTGTGTGTGTATGTGTGTGTATGTATCTATGTGTGTATATGTGTATATGTGTGCGTGTGTGTGTGTTCGTGCGTGCATGCATGTGCATGCTTGTGGTTCATCTTGGGAAATGCTTTTTCATTTTGTTGTATTTTTTTAGACTAATTCTCGTTTTAGCAAGATTGTTTTGATTTGAGAACAACAAAATGTTAGTATCATTGTAGAATAGTTTAAAAAATACAGCAGAGAATAACTTCATTTGACAGGTAAGTTTTTCGCACAACATCAGTTTTGCAGTGGCGTAAAGTAAAAGATTGGACATGAGGCCTTTGATCATACGAGTCACTCAGGTTTAAAGGCCTTAAAGCCGGAAAGCTTCTTTTGAAAGTACTTATGATATCGCTTATTTCAGGATTGTTTCTTTAGTGCTATTAAAGTACGTGATTTATCACAGAAGTTAGACTTAATATTAGTCGTAGAATTATATTCGATTAAGAATTACTTATAATTGTGTGAAGTAATTAAGAGGATTGAGAATTCAGGTCTTCTTGGAGATAACAATCATGATAATGATAATAAACACGTTCATCAGGAAACAAAACTATTTTGAACGACTGGAGTACTTCCGATATTAGAAGTAATAATAAGTAAGCTGGTGATTCTAAATCAGGATGGTAATTAAATCGGATGAAATGATTTGAAAAGACTTTCGATCCCTTACAATTTACTTTCATGACTTATATAGCTTTTCTTCCACGCTGTTATCCAGAAATACCTCATCCGTAATTCATTTGCGTAATACAGACGCTATGCTTGCGCAATAGCGCTCCTACGAATGCCTTGGACTTCTATAGAATTTTGTAAATACAAAAATTATTGAAGTTGCTTAATTATCCTCATTTACAGTAATTTATCACGGTGGAGGGTTTTATAATCAATCAGCAGAAGCAACAGATTGGGAAACAAGCAAGTATCAAAGTAGCAGCAGCAGCACCTCAATGTATCATTCCTGTTGCTTCGTCTCTTCAAACCATTTCCGACAAAAGCATAAGCCAAGGTTTGTGTAAGTTATCGTTTCATCAATAATCTAATTTTATCCTGATAATCAATCAACTAGTGTCACTTCTTGGCATGTGGCTATTCTGGCGACGTAGTTCAAGTTGAGAAAAAAATAGCTTTGTTGCGTATTTTGATCGGAGTTATTATTAAATTTAATATTTTATTCTATTTTGAAAAAACTTTACTTTAATAGTTTGTGTCCAATTCTAAATTTCTGTTACAATTTTTGGCTGGCCGAAGATATTACTGTGAAGGAAAAAAATTAAGAAAGAAACTGTAATTAAAATTACAGTCAGGACGGTCTGATCTTTCCTTGACCTAATCAAATATTCTTTTTGTATTCGCTTTAAATTACGGGAGCTCAAAATTGTCTTCTTACGGATTTTGCCTCTAATAGATATCCAAAAGCTTTTTCTTGCTTTTTCTATCCGATATATTTGGCGATCAAAACGGGAAAAGTTAAAATTTAAAGAGAGAAGCTATTTGTTATGTCTTCTCGGCATTATTTCAAATGCAGGTCCCATGAAAACTTCATGATCCTTTTTTAACTTTTGACTTTGAACCTTGTTAAACACCCCAGAGAGTCTTCAAAAAGTTATAGAAGTACATGACGACATAGCAAAAGATGCTAGGAATGGTTTGTGAATCTTTCCGTCAGGCTAAATGAATTAGGATACAAGAGTTGCATCCCAGGACAGCGAGTTGTCGGCGGGCGAATTTTTCAAGAGGTTGGGCGAGTCATCTCAACGAGTTCATTTCTCTAAGAATGTAGGGGAGAGGATTCGAACTGTTCGCATTTAGGTAGTATTTTTGATGTTTTTGAAAGCTGCAAGTGCTGTATTGTTCGGATTTCTGGACAAATATAAGCCGGATACTTTTTCCGCTGTTCTCTTCCACATGATTAGCGACACGTAGCATTTATCATCGAATGTTAACGAGACAAGCATCGTATTTAACGTGAATACCATTTGCCAGTACATGACTTCTATAGACGGTAAGCGCAGTATTACTTTGGACGGTTTGTAGGTGGAGGGGTGGTTTCCCACTGTGCAGCGTTTTTTTATAATCATTTCAAAAACATTTACTATTTCATTCATTCGATGAAAGAATTCATATATAGCGAAGTGATACTTGTCGTATCTTTCATTCACGATTCTTTGTCACTGCATTATCTTCAACTCGTCCCGTTCACTTCCAGTTTTATCTTTTTCTTCGTACATTAAGCTTCTCCAATGTTTCATTCATCATCGAATATTATTTTCCGTGAGTAAAATCATCGTGGAAGTTGTTCTTGAACGTTAATATTGCGAGTCCATCGTACGGAACTCTGGGTAATAGAAGATTTAATTTTAGATGGAGCAGTATGTCTTGCTAAATTTAACTAACATAATTAAATTTTTTTCATAGATGCGACATATCTCTTCCTTATACCTTGTACTCGGAACTCATCATTATTTAATTGGTTGCTATGGAGCTTACGGAAAATCGGCAAATAAAATGCAACGGGGATGCTGATATTACTATGCTCAGGAAAGGTGGATTAAGATGAAGACAAAATTTGCAAGAGCGAATTTCTGAGAAATATGATCTTATGTTATCGTTCTGGAATTCCCTTTAATCGATGATTCAATTCTCCGTGAAAGCGTGTGGAACAGCGGATAGGGCAGTAGTTTTTCAAATATTATTGTGATAACTTTTGTGCAACAGTAGTCATCGGTCATTTCCAGCAACTGGGAATGGTGTTCTCGATGAGGAGGGATAAAGGATTCGGGAAATTCCTTGAAAATGTCCAAGTATAGGATAATTTTGGACATCCATTTACTCAATATCCTGGCTATTCAGTGTTTAAATTAAGTAAGATTAAGTACATTAGTAAGAATAATAAAATGTAACAGTGTAATATCAATATGATAGGAATAAAGCCGAACATTATTTAACCAATTTATCGATCTCAGTTGAATAGTAACCGTTGCGCTTTGGATTCCAGAATGTACTAGTTGACAGCTAGTTAATGTAGGTGCTTGACGACTGCCTTATTCAGATTGCCCCAAAACTGAGATTCATTTGAATAATTTCGTTAGTGAACGATGCTGATCACCTAATTGCATGGAGTTAGTTCCTATCAGACTCAGATTGATTTTGATGTCTGGTACCATTATTCTTGACAGTCACTATAACATCCTTTCTTTCGGATTAAAAAAATATATATAGCAGATGTGCACGAACGAAACTGAAATTTTCGACTATTACTTATGATATGGAATTTAGATAACGTGGTTATCAGTTTCCTATAACCGTAATGATGATGTTAATCGTAGAAGTTTGACATTTTGTTTGTTAAATTATATATGAACAAAAAATTTCCAATAAAATGGAAGGCTCAATTCTCTTCTACAGATTTAGCCATATAACTTTATGCAGTAGTAGTGTTATGAGTCACTCCTGATAATATCGCGTAGCCATCATTATGGATCAATATTCTCGTAGTTTTTCTTCTTACTCCAAAACTTTCATTATCCATTCTAGACATTGCTGGAATTTAGAATAGAACTTCTTTACCTCTCTATATATTGATAAAGATATCAAATATATTCTAAAAGTTCGTAAATTCTAAACGGAAAATTGCAGATCGTGCGGATGAATTGCTGGATAGTAGTTCCAATCGATTGAATGACATCCGACTTGTGAAAAAACTAGGCAGTTATTCTTTCCTTGAACAGATATCCTCTACCAAAAGCAGGTGCGCGTTCATTTTTTTTAATACGAAGTTTATTCTTTATTTTTTTCAAGCGAAAATCCATGAAGCGATTGTACGGAAATAGATTATATTGCTCTAAAAGCACTCTTTTTTTCTTTTTTTTTCTGAAAGATTTAGAAGATTAAAACATGAGGCAAAGCGGAGTTAACTGTATTCATCGCAAGCTTTGTTTTTATATGGGTTGTCAAAAATGGGGATAACATATGCTGCTTCAATAATTCTGCCCGATTATAAAAGAAAAATGTTAGCAGCGTGACAGTATTTGTTGAACAAAACCAACGGAACTTAAAATGAATAATGAAAACAGATGTACATTTTAAGCGAGGTTTGAACTTATACATTAACTTTCGAATTTGAGTATTTGTTGGAAATAGCATTTTTGCACGAAATTTAAAAACTAACATCACTGCCTTTTCTAGAGTATCATGAATTTCTATATTATTTTTTGTATTACTTTAATTTCTGCATTATTCTTTTAAAAAATTTCGTGTCCATTTATTTATAAAATAGCTAGTTTATTCATTTTCATTCCTCCTATACTATAAGGTTAGGTTTCTTTCCGAAAGTGGGATTTTTAACTGCTGAAATTTTATCAATTTGAAGCAATAAACAGTCACAGCCCCACCCACTCTCAGCGTCTTACGATGAAAGTAAAAGCCTTTAATTATTTTAACTGATTACGAACCCGAAAGCACATGCACGGTCCAACACAAGAGCGCAGTTGGTTATAATACGATGTAAACAAATCAAAATAAACAATCCAAAATGTCTGCATAGTGATCACCCGACACCTTTCTTCTATTGTTTGTTGCATCATATTTTTTGCACTCTTCGTTTCTCTATTTTACGGTATTTTATTGTCTTCATCTCCATTTTATACCTTACGAAAATCTCTTTTAGATTCACATCTTTAAACGAACTGAAATATCTGAATTTTTTGGAAAAGTACGTGTTTTCATAGTATTTTATTGAATTTCTCACTTCTGAATCCTTGTTTTCCGTTATTCCTGTTCATTATCCTTCCTAAGCGCATCATTTAATATTCAGTTGTTTTCAATGAAAATATAATATCAACAAAAGACTGACTGAATCCTTGGTCCTTAAAGGCATTCGCTTATTTGTACGAGGTTCCTTAGGTGACAAACGTTTTTTCGTTTCAATTTTTCATCTGTCTTTAACTTTAGAAGTTCTCTTTCCTAATACTGCAATGTATGGGATTATATTTAGGGTAAATGAATTTCAGAGATTTCTTTTCCTTTCAGGAATATTTTTTCATCGCGTGTTAATTGCAGCCTAAATTTAAAAAAAAAAGGAAGTAATTTCTGTTTAGAATGCACTGAAGTATTTAACACATCAAAATCATTTTTTTAAATCTTGGATAATTTAAGAATCGTAAATGAAAATTGTCAAAGGGCTGAAAATATTTTTTGAAATTCTCATCCATTGAGAAGCACGAGAAAGACATGCTTAATTGGCCTTCATTGCTCGATAAGAACCATAGAATGAGAGCATTCAAATGCTCAAAAAATTTCAAAATTAAACACCGTATTTTCAAGATATAGTCCGGGTAGTGCGTTACCCATAGAATAGGTACGAGAAGAGTCCTTTTTTATTTCGTGAGTTCAGCTTGTAGTTTCGTTATGATTATTGTTTGTTTTGGTATCCAAATGTTTCATTTGGAATTTAAATTCGAAACTCAAACTTTCATCATCATGTTTTCCTTTTTTTTCACTGAAATGGAAAAATGCTTGTCCTTATGTACCCAAATCTTCCATTATACAGATTCGTGTATTCTGAGTCGTCAATACATTTGCACTGTTGTGTGTGCATTCTGAAGTACTAATTCCTTTTTTCTGTACTCAGAACGATGATGTTAGTGGAGTCACATCTAAAAGCGTAACAAATTTTTCGTGCCAAAGACTATTTGTTTATCTATTATCTTGCTATATCAGAAACAGCAAGACCTGATTCTCAGATAGACAAGATATGGAAGTGATTTTCTGAATAAAGATAACTATTGTTGGTTTTACATTACTTTGTTTTTAATTTTGTGATTATTTCATGGTAGTATATTGTTAATTTTATAAATTCTATGATTAATATTACTCAACCTGAGCGCAGCAAAGCACAATGAATGCGACAAATTTACCCCGTGATTATTTAAAAACAGAAATTTCTGCTAAATTTTAGGAAAGTGATCGATTGTATTATAGAGGAAATCGCACTGAAATGTAATGAAATTCATCATCATTTTGCTATTACTTCCACTGGCTCTCGTTCCTTCAGTCAACTTCAGATATATATTTTCGCTCTTTTCGGATTTTCATAAATTTTCTATCTTAATCCTTTTTTGAATTGGATTTAAATCCATTTAATTTCCCTTTTTCCTTCCTCAAACTTGACCAGTCCATAATTTCTTTCAGTCTGTGTTGCGAATAAGATAACCTCTGGAAAGTCTTCTACCATCTCTTACTCAATTTTTTTACTTCCCCCACTTCCCTCTTTTTCCTTTTCCATATCTTTATTCTAATTCCGTAATTTTTCCATTATTGTTCTCCCCTAACAAAGAATATCTTCTTACATTGCAAACTGTTTTCGAAAATCCTGCTGTTTTCATTGCTGTGAGGCTGGCCAATCGACAACTAAGTATGTAAATTGATGGCCTAAAATGCTGTTTTATTTGGTTTTGTTTTCGGAAAATTTTTTCAACTCCTAAATATGACGTTAAATTTGGTGTGTCAATGGTCGAATACAATGTATGTTCCGGAAAGTGACTTTCGTTACCTTTAATTATCTTTTGCGATATTCATGCTCCGGAAAGTAACTTTTGTTGGCATACGGAGTCCTGGTTGCAATTAATTCACTGGGTATTATCCAGTCAGTCCTGCTATAACCCAAATATAAATTACTTATTTTTGTTTATTAAATCACTAATTGCAGCTGTGAAGCACATGAACAGAAAGGTCATTCCTTTTGTGTGATTTAATAAGGGTTTTAATTATTCTCACATATCAGTTCGTCACCACATGTTTTTGCTGCGTCTCACCATATCCTCTAGATTTCAATGGTAAATTCTTTCCATTCTGGAACGAAGATTACTCAATGAGGAATCATTAGAGCATAAGAATTTACATTAAATCAATTGAGTGTCGGAGAGGGAGCTCTGTGCGGCACTGCATTCATTTCATCGTGCAAATGAATTCCCATCAAATTGCCTCAATGAAACGATGAAGGAAGGGTGATAGGAATTTTGTTTCTATGCATCCAATTTCTATTCTCGTTCCCTTGCATTTCGATTAGTTTTTCTCGTATTTTCAGCACAAAGTTTCCAAAGCTGGGTAATTAATATTACTTTCTGTTGAAAGATTTTGAATATGTATTCAGCCTTTTTTTAGATTATTCTCACAGCATATCTGCTTTCATCTTTATATTTTTACCCTTTTCCTTTTTCTCATCCGTTCTTGTTTGTCAAACTTTTCGTTTCGGGAATTTTCATTTGTGAAAAAGCATAACTGCTGTAGCAATACTCGAAGTTTTTGTTAGGATAACGGTACTTTTGTGGTAAAAAGAATATCGACATTCACAATATCAAAATATATGGCAGGAAAACATTAAGATGAGTAGAAAAAGAAGGTTGAGAAGTGTTTCTGGTTCCGTTCTTTTGATAGATTGATTCGTAAACTTCAGGTGGATGGTCTACAGATAGTCGTATTTCACTGGACAAGTCAGTTTCTAGTGAACCATAGTCATCTTGAAGTCTTAAAAGACTTATAATTGGTCAAACTATAAGGAGTGATAATAGTGGATGATAAGCCAACGTTGGCACCGGGATTTCGTCGTCCTAGACCGATAGTACCAATTTCTGCAAGGTAGCGCATGGAAAGGTTAACGATCAATATAACATTACAGAGCCTGGGAAAATTATTGGATGGGTGTTTTAGTCCTCATACGCGTATATCTACTGTTGTCTGTCTATACTCAGTAATGCTCATTCATTTTTCCTATTCTGCCTTCGTGCCTCGCATCCACCCTCTGTGTTGGAGATTGTTGATGTGCATTATCTGAGACTGAAAGCTTTGGTTAGATCTCATTTTGCTTATAATTAAATTTTGTTCGGTGTTTATGACTCTCATTTTCATTCGCTCTATAAAAGAAACTGCCTTAAAGAATGTGACACCTGTGTAAGTCATTAGCGTATCTGCCAACAATCATCCTAATGATTCGTTACATCCTGCCAAGACTGGAATCTCAGATCAGAAACCTGAGTTATAAAAATCATTTTATATATAGTCGTAGGAAGTTTACTGTAATAATTTCGATTGAAAAGAAGGTTGTTCGTAAAATGAAACTAATTTGCAGAGTAGATTTTTCCAATTTGAATATTCAATTGTTTGGAAACAGATCTGCAGAAAAAAGAAAACAAAAGCGAGAGCATAGGTATCATGCATAGCTATTCATTGTTGTGAACAATTGCAATTTATACTGGAACAAATGACCTAAATTATCAGCTACTTAGAAGTAACATTCTGCAAACTTCATTTTTGAATCCTTTGTTACTTTGTTGAGTTTTGATTTCTGCTCTTATTTGCATTAAAAAATCACATATTAGTGCCTCTCATTCATAACATTTTTTTCATTCCTTGTTCCTTCGTTTCTTTTTCTTTTCTAAAATTTTATTTAGTTTTATCTAGAACTCTATTTCCGTTTCATGTTGTGTTATCCTCGATTGCAAGTTTTAGCTTGTTTCATGTTTTATTGTCTGATTTACTGCTTTAGCTACAGTTAATCCTCCTAATGTCCAAAATGTTCTGACTTTTGACATCTCATACTGATAAGTGTTAAAAATTAAATGCGGTAGATAAATGGTCATAGTGGCATTTAACTCAACATAATCGGTTAAGAAAAGTGAAACTGACTAACCTGGCGGCGTAAATCATTTGAATGAATTTTGGTCCTCCATTTAGCTTTATAGATAGGGAAGTTCATACCAGTACTGCATTTTTTGTTATATGGAGTTCATTGTATTTGTTGTACAAATTTTCATCTGATTTTGTGTTTTTCCATTTGTTCACTCGTTGAATGAATTTCCTCTGAAGACTGAATATTTAATGTTAAATTAAATCCTGAATTTTATCCTTGTGAATTGATTTCTTGCTGAGGTAACATATATTCTAAACCAAGTTCCGTTCCGAAATCACTTTTATATACTCCCAGGACTGCGCGATTTCATATCAAACACAATTGTAATTTTGCTTTTTTGCTTTTTTGAAACTGATTCATAATGGTTATAAATTTACAATTAATTTACATAGCAACATCAAATTCTAAGTTTCAACCATTGGTCAGTTTTTGCCTACAGTTTCTCCTGAAATACTTTTTCCTCGTTTTCCACATCAAGTTGTATGTACTGGTCACAGAATTATTCAATCACTGCAGCTCTAATCATAAGCCTGCCGAACACGCATGTTCGAGATGTTTCCCACCATTGTTATCTATTTCAGATGCATTGTATTAAATCTTTCTTACTGTTTTCATTTCAAAATATTTTGTTGCCAGGATAGAAAAAAATACATGAAAATAGCGGGTAATAAATATCAAAATGATACATCTCTGAGAAGTGCATGATGAAATGATGGCATTCATCCTTTTTTCAGCTGATGACAAAAATTTGTTGTGAATTTTTCGATTGAACGAAACAAGATTTTTTTTAAAGCAAGTGGGCAATTTTTGACACGAAATGACAGTTCATATTTTGTGCCGTTTTTCCCAAAAGCCTTCATAAATGGAACTTGTTACTTTTGGAAGGAACTTTTA